TTGGTTTTTAATGGAAAACTCAATAGGGCCCACTCCAAACTCTGTTAGCATTAGCATCAGGACTCCGCCCACTATTTATACCCAAAATCTCATTGTTCAAGTTGAGAAAAATAAAAATTGATCCCTAAAATCTTCAGTCAGTTATGTGAAAGTGCCGGAAAGGTTTGTAGGTGATGATTTACGTGAACGTCTTATGAGTGATCTCTCGGCCCATGTCCTCGATCTCATAGGCAGTGCTTTCATTTTCAGAAAGGAACAGCCCTCAGCAGTAGGACACCAAGGTACATGGAACGCAGCGGGAAATGGGTTTCAACAGATCTTCTGGTTAAGAGTTTTTGGGCCTGTTTGGGTCTTCATCCTAAGGGTTTACATACTCTGCACTGCAAGAACCTGACGAGAAAATTGGACTCATTTATAAGGCTCTCGTTTCAGTTTCCTGAAAAAGAGCTTTGGTCCCACTTTGCGATCACGTTTGTCTGCACTGTACTCCGTAAAACTTCTCAAATGGTGCTTGACTGACATCCTTTGATATCTTCGCAGTAGAAGCCGTGCACTTCTGCATGGTTTGCATCATTCTTCACACTGGACTCCCACCTTTCCCCACCCACCCCTGTCTCTGTCCAAACGAGAGTTTTTCCCCACAAAGTATCAGTCACTGGTACTAAAGGATGTTTACATTTTTTATGGTTTTGTTTGAAATAATTCCTCGGCCGTTAATCACTCAAATCCTCCTGCTCCCAACTGGACTGTCCTCTTATATGTAAAGTGTACATTACCATATTTCTTTTTTTATACAATACTGTAACTTGCCTTTGTACATTTAGGCAAAAAAAATAAATCTTTTTATGAGACAATCACATCTGTCCTATTGTGGCTTCCTTCTTTGGTATCTGAGTAGAAAGTGTTACTGGCCTCATCATTTTAGTGTACTTTGTAATAAGACAACTTTTTTTTTAAAGAATACTCCAGCATTGTTTAACCTGATCCCTGTCTGCCACATCTGTAGCATACAGTCAGTTGCTGTGGACAATAATGGATGTTTCTCTGTAATTTCAAAAGGTTTAAACTATTGATTGAAACAGTTTCAATACAAACCAATGGGCAGCTGCTTCAGCACCTTCCCATTAGGTTCTGTTGTAAATGAAGTCTGGAGTGAGACTCGTTCTCAGACTGGGAGTTCCTTCATACTCAGCCCAAACTCTTAACTGTGTTTCTCTGCTATACACTGTGTGTGAATACCAAACTGGTTTATGGTCAGAGTTGAAATCACATTTTAGACTTTTAACTGACATGGATCTTAGACTAAAATCTTTTTGCCTTGAGTGACCCTAAACCTTCATTCTGTTTATTTTGTTAAAATAAATGATTAAACATTCAATTTTTTCCCTAACAAACTCCTAAAACAACTAAAAAAGAACAGAAAAAATACATATATACACACCAACTACTGTACTACTAGGTTAAATAAATACAATATAAATAAATTTTAAAAATTACCAGATGTTTCAGTAGTGACTGTATCAGAGGTGACAATTTTACTCAAAAACGCTAACCAGTACATGACTAGCAAACAGCTTTGAACAGCTGCACACACACAAAATCATCATATTTATATTAAGACAGTTTGCTTAGTTGCAAAAAAGTGTCTTCAGTAGTGACAATTCTTTACGTTACACACTGACTGTCAGACAATTACTTCAAAACAGTAGGTTGAACAAAAGTAAAGTGCAGTAAACTTGACGTAAAAAATAGTGACAGTGCTTTGTGCTGTGTAGTGGCGCCGCCACTCCCTGTTTCAGTTTCCCCAAACGCTTTAGCCGAGCGCGCTAATGTTATTCCTCCTTTAGAAAAAGAAAACTCAAGTCGGAGCACCGATCATAAAATGATAGAAACAGATGGTTAAAACAGGAGTTAAGACACCTCTGGGTTTATCTTAAAGTTAGGACAGTATTTTAGGAGATTTAGTCTAGTTAGGATGTTTCTGTAATACTGTGTTCTTATCTGGAGTTAATGATAAGATTATGGACTCCAGAACTGTTGTTCTGTAACGGCTTCTGTCCTAAATTCAGTCCTAACTGAAGTTGTCATGGTGACTAAACAGATAAGGTTTCAGAGTTGAGAAGTTTCTGGAACACGGCCCCAGGCTCCTGTCTTAAATGGGAGACCTATAAACATGAAACTGAAGGTCAGATTACAGTTTCAAAAACAGATTTGAGATCAGTGGCAAAATCTGACAAGAACTACTAAGAAGTCTGTAGCGTTTGGCTCAGTGACACATAGAAAACTGTGTTTTTAGGCTGTTCTGTCTGTTCTACTGCACTCGCAGAGGTATTTCAACAGCTTCAGTGACGGCTCTCATTTATAACGTCTCTGGGTCAGTTAGCTAACTACTTAGCTTTCCTTAGCTTAGCTGCTGACAGCTAGCTTAATAACCCAGTCAGATTCAGTAAGACTGCAGCACTCTTATTAGTTAAAACATTCGCGTTATTCTTTCATTAAAGTTTGCTAAAAGAGATGAGTGCAAAAGATGACGAGTCCTACTCGCCACACAACTTTGCTCTGGCTCCCTCCGTTGTTAGCTTTTAGCATTAGCTCATCTGAAGGGGCAGCTTCTGTCGCTAAAACCTCGTCCTCATTAGACCTGAGGAGGTTTAGTCTAGTTACCGCTTTAACAGCGATTGACTTAAAAGATTTTCCTGGTTTGATTAGTGTAAACGTGCTTTCCAGAACCCTTTTTTGTTGGCTAGCATTCATATTTTGTCAGTTCTCAAACAAGTCTGCACTGAAAATCATGAAAAGCCAGTTTAGTTTTGAACGAAATGTGTCAAATGTGTGCTTAAATTTCCACTGCTGAGCTTTTAGTCCCACTTAAGAGGTTCTATCTGACGTTTTTGTCAAAATTCAGTTATTCACATATTCTGTGACGACTTCTTAACATTATGTGAGGTGTTTTTCTTAAGTTGTCTGCATTTTTGGACTCTCAAAAAATAGGAAACATTTGAATTGATGGGGTCTTAATTACAACACAGACATTACTTTCATTCATCTGTCTGTTCTTCTTCTTTCTCTCAAAATAAGACATTTTGGTTTTAGAGTCACATTTCTGATACAGACCCTCACACTGCCTTCAGACTGATCTGCTACTGGGACAGTTTATTGCAGTCACTGGTTGCTGTCTGACCAAAGGAAGCTTAAACTAATCATTCCTCAAACTGACCTCTGCACTGGACAAAATTCTTAGCAATGACCTTTATGGTTAATCTGCAATCCTTTTTGAATAAGGGAAAGATCATTTGTTCTAAAACAAGAAAAAAATGTAAAAATAAAAAAGAATAAATGCTACAAAAATGTCATAGAAAGCTGATAATGTAGACACTGTTAGTGACTGTTTTTGTTTTAAAATAAATTATGAATAAATTGTTCCTTAAAAATATTGTTTATTTTGATGTTTTGCTGGATAGAACCTTATAAATCCAAGCAGAAAGTGAGTTCTTAGGATTAGAAGGTTCTGCATTTGACACGTTCCAAAAAACCCTTTACAAATTTGATATGATTTTGATTTTGTACATATCGAATACATTTAGGATTTCTGTCATTATCATGTATGAATAGACGTGTTCCACATTTCAGTTTTGCTATTATCATATTTACAAAAAGGAGATTAATTCCAAACATATTTTACAGTCACTGGTGTTGTATGAATATGGTGTAACACCAGTGACGGTGACTCCAGTGACATTTTGGTTAAATCACATAACAGCAGTGACACACAGAAGTTAAGCTGCCTGATAAATAAAGTTATTAATAAATTAATGAAATATAGTGAGCGAGTGTGACTCACCTTCTCATGCCTTGAGATGCTTCCTCTGACGAGCCTCAACCAAAAGAAACAATTTAATAGAGCTGAAAATACCATGCTAATGTAACATAAGAGTCCTGATAACACCAGTGACCAAAATCTCTGACAAATGATTTTTGTAAATAAAATATAGATTTTTTTATATGTAATATAACATTAATGATATAAAAAGTAAACATGAATCTGTTTATGCAAATTCCTAAATTAAACCTCTTAAATTAATATTGTTTAATATTAAAAATATTTTTTCAAATGTTGAAAGTTGGTTTTGTGATGAGCCGTTTCAAAGACGCAGAGCGACAATAAAACAGGATAAAGAAGAAAAATCAGAGAATCATAAGGGAAAAGTATTTAATCTTAGATCACCTGTGTAAATGTACATACTGACTTTTGGAGCTGTGTCTGATATTTTAAGCATCTTTTTAAGCCCTGCAAACTTTGTGACATGGTTTCTAAACTTTTCATAATTAATAGCTCAATAGAAATGATCCGAAATCACTTGAAATAAAACCTCTTTACATCAGTTTAGAGTTCAGAATGTTTAGCCTTTTTCGTACTATTTTGTACTTGTTTTCGTTGGACAGTGGTGAAACATAGGCCTGTTTGTAAGTGTACAGTTTGTGTGTTCTTGTGTTGATGTGTGTAGGTTTATGCTAGCTGGCCCAAACCTGGTCTGGACTGTGGCTATAAAGAAGATATTTGAGTAGGCTGAGTCTGACAGTGAGATCCAGTCGTGTCTGCAGGCCACCCATCCGCACTGCATCAGTCTCGACCCATTATCCTCTCTCTCCTGCACTACGTTATCTTCATGCGCTCTTATCCTTTAATCTCTCACCCATTGCACATTACCGGGAACACAAATGCGATTGAGCTTGGCTCAGTGTTGCAACAGGCCATGAATAATTGAATTATTGGAAATAAGGCAGATCCTTTCATATTTCACTCATAAGTGAGCCTGAGGCTTTTCTGCTTATTCATACCAGCCTGTCGCTGTTATACTGAGGGAGTGTCACATGACGCCAGTCATATCTTTGAGAGGGTAATTGTTTTTCATTGTTGGGTCAGTGCCTAAGCCATGTGCACAGCTGTAGTCCCTGAGCCCATTTGAGTTGTGTAATTCTCTCTCTCTCTCTCTCTCTCTCTCTCTCTCTCTGTCTCTCTCTCTCTGTCTCTCTCTCTCTGCCCGTGCGAATAGGAGCTGTTTGTGTGCAGCTGTGGAGATTATGTAGGGGGATGATTTTGTGGAGAAGTAAATGTGAAATCTGATTATGCCTGAGCGGGGGGAGGGGGAAGCAGAGAGAGAGAGAGAGAGAGGGGGTTGAGGGAGATGTGCTGAGGCAATGGCTTTTCCACTCTGGATCCGGTGAGGCCGCTTCGATGGCGTGAAAGGACACACTTCGCCTTGCTGTGCTCCGGCTTTGCCGTAGAGATTCAGGGTTTTAATGGGATGCACTATATACGCAGCCAGCCCTGAGGCTCCACCGGAGGGGCCTGATACCAGGAGACGGCCCCATGCCCCCAGCTCCCGGACCTCTCACGCACGCAACCGGTGAGAACAGCACCGTTTACACCTCGCCTCACATGCACCTGTTTATCTGTCTCACTGGTTTACATTTATTAGAATTCAGTTATTTTGGTGATCAGTTTTTGACAAAATAAAACTGGGCTAAACAAAACAATAACAACCCATGGCATTTCAGTTATTCTAACATCTGCTTCTGCAAAGATAAACTCTTAAGACTTTAAAAAAGAGTTTATAAATACTGTCATGTGCAGAAGTTTTGGTGCCCCTGGTCGGATGACGTTTTGTTGATTTTAAAGTTGTGAATATAAGTCACACATCCTCTACAGTGAACACACACCTGCACATTTTAATGCACAGTTACTGGTTACTTGCTGAATTTGACATGTTGGGAAAATAGAAAAGAAAATGTGGGCTGTAGAAAAGTTACAGTTCATATTTTAGTTTTTCAAATATGTTAAACTCAGCAAATAAATGGAAACTGTGCACCAGCGTTTTGCAGAAAATGCCATATTGAAGTATTATTATATTCACAAAACATGACCAGAGGTTTTGCATACAAATGTATATAAAAGGGTTATTGCACTTATGGGGTCTCCTAATGATATTACATTTACAAATATGAATGTAAAGTGAAGGTTAGACATTTTAAACCCAGGTAAAGTGTCTTGTACAGAAACCTATAAGCGTGCTTCAGATAAATAACATTACATTTCAGAAAATAACATCCATGAAACCTATGTCAGGTATTTTGCCTGTCTCAGCCCACTATAACTACACTTTAAATGATTATAATTTATCATTTAAATACTGCACAAATATTGTTTTTGCATTGATGTGTGAATCAGTATAGCATCTTGCGCTGAAAAATGTACATTGTAATTATCCCTCAATATTCATTCAACCTGGCCACATTCAGCCGTATGACACATCCGGAATATCTGAAAGTCACATATTCAACAGAAATGTTCATTATCCAAATTTCCTGAAGCTCATGGTGAGAAGTAAAGTACATTTTCTCATTGTTTTTGCTGTATTTTCAATGGTATTGTGATGTCGATGCTCTGATACTGATGAGGTTGTTTTGGAAGAACAACCTTGTTACCTAAAGTATAGATTGAAAGTACATTATTGATTAAAAATACGTATTTTTACAGCATGTAATACAATGTGATACAGATCATGAGATGGGTTAAAGGGCCAACATCAAGCAAAACCATATTTTCTTTGCATTTTTGAAGCAAAAGCGTTTGATGTAGTATGTAAACGCTGTTATTTATGAAATATTCTCTTCACTCCTCGGCCCATATGGTCCGTATATGGAAACTAAGCTTTAAAAACAACCCAGTTTAAATTCAGTGTTTTTGTGATGTCATGAAAAACCAAATCATTTACATATATCCATCTATTCAGCCTTTAGGAGGATTTAAAGTGTGTGTTTTATCATCTTCCACATTACAAGGTAGTACAGATTCATCAAGAGGGCACTTTTTAATCAATTACTTTTGTTATTGAGTAATTATAACAATTCTAAAACAATGAGATGGCAAGTCAGGCTTAGAAGTGTGTTTATCCATTCCAAAAAAGGAAAATGGTGTGAATCTTCACTCCTGGATCAAAATCTTTAGGTTAAAATCTTTGTTTTCCGTGTTTGATCAAAAGTAGTACATGTAGACAAGCTCACAAGAATGGCTGTTGGGTCTGATGAAGGCTGTAGAGCAGGGATATTTATTTGAAATTCAATAAGGTCCAGTTAAAGGAAATGTCCTCAAGCAAAGGTTCAGAACATCATAATGTCTAACTTGCATCATGACTCAGTGCCATATACTGTTTACCGAAGTGGCCTAGCAGGTATAGCAACATCTTATACAGTCAACAACTGAATGTCAAATCAATTTCAACAGTACTTAATGTCATTTTTCTCTTTTTAGAGCACACCTTGTGAAATAACTTCCCTCTGAAACTAAACTAATGCAATTAATCATTGCTCCACCTGTTTTCCCAATTTTTGTACTAACAATGTTTATTATCCGGTGTCGACCAGAGGAGGATGGGTTCCCCTTCTGAGTCTTGGTTCCTCTCAAGGTTTCTTCCTGTTTCTCTTAGGGAGTTTTTCCTTGCCACTATCGCCACTGGCGACACTCATGGGGGCTTGGACCCTGATTTCTTTCTGTAATGCTGTACCGCTCTATAAATAACTTACTTACTTACTTACTTACTCTGACTCACTTTCTTCTCTGACTGCTGTTTCTCGCCTCGTCCCTCCCCTGTGTGTGGTGTCACTCACTCGTGTCTCAGAGCGCATTGTAATGCACAGATCTGATTGGCTGAGTAGCGTCACGTGTGATATTTACAACGCATGCGATTGGTCTGTGAGTCGACACCGTAATGACTAGAAATGTTACGCCGAATAAAATAGTACCACCCTGTTGAAATTAAATAATTCTCCATAGTTTAGCAGTTATAGGTCCAGGTCTGCATAGGGCAGCTTCTGGGTCCGGACTCGGACCACGGTCCGCCTATTAGTGACCTCTGCTGTAGAGGTTGTCAGTTCTTGTGAGCTCACAGACCACAGAGACTGATTTCTGCCAAACATATGAAATAAAAAGATTCTGATTCATGAGTGTGAACTTCCTCTCGGTTTTGACTATTAGAAGGTAAGTGATGCTGTGATTGTTGCCTCTTAACCTCTGACTGAGCTAGGAAAGATGAGTCAGATGTTTTCCTTTAGTACGTTAATCTCTTCTGCCCTTTTGAGATCTTGGTGCTTCATTTTAGATTTATTTTCATCCTCACTGGACTGTGAGCTGATACGCGTGTTCTGAGAAACCCAGTGTGCTGATAGGTAGAGGTTTGTAGGGGATTATTGTAGAGTGTGCTGGTGAGTCAGAATGAGCTAATGTAGTTACAGAAGTCATGAGCAGTGATGACCATGATGACTCGGGGAATGATACGACACTGATAAAGCTGCAGATCTATTCTTAGTGAGTTCTGTGTAGGGCTGGGCGATATGACAGTATTTGATTATGATTGTGATAACTTTTGTTATCATTAACACTCCTTTTTTGGAGCATGTCTTGCGATTCATCCGTATTTAAAGAGCACTGACCAACTGCACGTTAATTATAAAGAGAGAATGATTGTTGTTTAACTGGATTTGATGCAGCACAGTATGTCAAACACTGAATATCATTCATTGTAGTTTTTGATTGCTAATTCTGTACACAAATATATACTTATTTAAATATATAATATATATCCAAAAATAAAGATGTCCTAAGTTTAAATCTGTGGGCAAAGACAGTGTAGTGGACCACAGCAAGAAGGGCCTGGGTTCAGTTCCCCGGCCGGGCAACCAGGGTCCTTTCAGTGTGGAGTCTGCATGTTCTCCCCGTGTCTGCGTGGGTTTCCTCCGGGTGTTCTAGTTTCCTCCCACAGTCCAAAGACATGCAGTCAGGCTAACTGGAGATGCTAAATTGCCCCTAGGTGTGTTTGTGTGTGTGTGTTTGTGTGCGTGCATGTATTTGTCTATTTGTCTGCCCTGTGATGGACTGGCAACCTGTTGGTGTTTCCGGCCTTTTGCCCGACGAACGCTGGGATAGGCATCAGCACCCAGAAGGATAAGCAGCTTAGAAGATGGATGATAAGCAGTATGAACTCTAATCATTGCTGCTGTAATGCGGTGCGCTTTATGCTGGTAAATATCGTTTTAGTATGTAGCATTTTCACTGTTGATTTCAGGGCATTGTCATTTTACTCACAATACAATTATAATTACGCAATATTTAATACTACAAAGCTCAAATTAAGCACTTAATCTTCAATCTTTTAGAGTTCAGGAAGGCTAAAAAGCAGCTCAACTCAAGAGAAATCCACCAATCTGTGTGGTTTGATGTGTATCGTACACAATGTCTACAACTCAAATATAGCTATTTTGTTTAGTATATCAATAGCCAGTGAACCCACATGAGCTTTATATGCATTGTTGATGACAGTAAATCTTAAAAATATACAACGCCCTGCGTGTACCTCTCTGCGATTAATGTTTTTAAAAAATACATTGTAGGCTAAAACCTTACCTCATAACTATTGTAAACAGGCAGCTTACTCCACATCATGGAGTATACCTTAGGATTATACCTTATTATCTCAACATTGCCATGATAATGACTCAGTATCTCCAAATAATAACTTAATATATCATAATAATTGAGATAGTATAAAATGCTATCTTCATCTATTTGCTATGTGCTGTCTATCTACTGTCAAATATAATTAAGTATAGTCATAACTGAGATACTGTCTCATAATGGGAAACTTATTATCATGAGTATCTCGCTGTTGAGATGCAGTCATAATTGAGATTCTATCAAAGTTTCTCATTAGTATGGCATACAAGTCATAATTATGAGAAACGCTCTTATTATTTCATTTTATTTTCAATAAGTGGGTGAATAACTACAGCATTTGTATCCAAAAATGAAAAGAGCTTTACTATTTAAAGGGACCTAAATTAAGAAAAATGTCTTAACAGTAAGTTATATGAACTGAAGCCTCTACTGGACATGGGTGTGTCCTGCAGCGGTTGTGTTCATTTTGGGGAGTGTCTCATAGTGTTTGTGCTTGTCTGGGAGGTGTGTAATTTGCGGTTGTGTTCATTTGGGACGTGCCTTATGGCAGTTGTGTTTGTTTGGAGGCGTGTCTTGTGGATCCGTCCTTTAGTGGTGTGTGTTCTAGTGGCTGTGTTCATTGGTGGGCGTGTCTTGTAGTGTTTGCGTTCCTTTGGGGGCGTGTCTTGTAGTGGCTGTGCTCCTTTGGGGTTGTGTCTTATAGTGGTTGTGTTCTTTTGGGGCATGTCTTGTAGTGGCTGTGCTCCTTTGGGGGCGTGTCTTATAGTGGTTGTGTTCTTTTGGGGCATGTCTTGTAGTGGCTGTGCTCCTTTGGGGGCGTGTCTTGTAGTGGCTGTGCTCCTTTGGGGGTGTGCCTCGTAGTGATTATGTTCTTTAGGGGTGTGTCTTGTGGCTGTG